GTCGGTTTGTCGGTCTGTCCGTCCGGGACTTTGTGATTATGATAAAGGTAGTGATATGGAAAACTTATTCTTCTTATATAAAAAGCAGTCACTTTGTGGGTAGGCTAATGGAGTAAAGTGAGCACTGCGGAGTGAAGTGAGTAAAATTGAGTGAAGTGGGTATTTCAAACTGTGATTTCTACTGTACTGTAATGGCAGTACTTCGACACTGGTAATAGATATAACAGATATTCTAACGTTGTACACCCATTCAATCGTTATTTCGGATTAGTAGTTGTTATTGTTTTCGGATCAATTCACTTCCCCCACCCGCTCTTCCGACAATAGATACGTAAGCTGTCGAAACTGCTCCTAAATTTATTCATAACTCTAGCTTTCTTTAGCCTAAAAATTGTCATTTGCTGGTGCAAGAGAAAAAGATGCCAACTGTTCCCCGTCAGAACGTCTACAGGATGTTTTTAGGAAATGCCTGATGATACATTCACATTTCCTGTAGCATTCATAACTGAGAACTTACCGCCCATTTTTGGACTTCATATACGGCTGTGGACGAAGTAAGTGTCAAAGCAATTGCTTCACACATCCCAAGCATGTTCCGAGGATAGAACCTCGGGTAACAACCTTTTGGGGTTAACCAAGCCTCCCATCCCTCCGGAGTTGATTAGTTGGTACCAGACTCGTCTGGGAGAATAAAAGTACTGACTTATATTAATACATCGGCTGGCCACCAGAACACATTGTATAGGCCGAATACGGACTCAGGCAGCCATTACATTCTGAATGAAAGTCGAGTGCAGGGGGCATCCCAAAAATAGTACTGCTAAATGTTATGTACTCTTATCCTTCATCCTTTATGCTACATGCCTGTACCACGCTACTTGAGGCTTTGCGGGTATAAAGAGCAAAGATAGAGGAGTATGTAAAGCAGCTGAACATTCTGGGTCTCGCCAACATTTCGATTAATCAATTCCTACTTGACTATTCACATTGATACACCTAAATCTCACTTGAACAAGTGATAGATTTCCAGTGAGAAACAGATTTGGCGATGAACACAATGCTTTGTTTTAAATCGACAGTTCTAATGATCAGCTATTGCTTTGTTAGGGGTAATATCGTTTTGTAGCGTTTCTCATAACACTTTGTCGTCATTCAGCTGTGGCTGGGAATCGACAATAAAAATGCGCCATGTCGTCGAGCGTTCCAAATCTAAAAAATATACCTTAAAGTAATAACCAACAGAGAAAAGTAAACTAAGCCTTAAAATATGAAGGAAGAAAGAAACCGAGACAAAATGAGTGATTTCGAAAGTTTTTTGCAAAAGAAACTGCACAGCGCTGTTGTTGTTTATTTGTTTATGAACTGTATACATATGTATGTAGTTGCGTCTTGAGGTTATGATTAGTTTAACTAAAGTCTTTTTTGTTAGCCAATCCCGTTTTTTGGTATGTGCCCAAGCATTCGACTTTCATTAGAATTTCTAGTGGTCTATTGAATGTGTACATATGGGATCTATACAATCACTTACGGTAACCAGCCGATGTGGGCAGTCAGTGCTTTAATCATCCCAAACGATTCTGGCAATAAATCGATTCTGGCAATCGACCCTAGAGGAATGGAAGGCATTTAAGGCCTGGGCAGCACCTATCTCCGAACTACAGCTGTGTGATAGTACCCCTCATGAAAATATAATACACCGGGTGTGGTGCAGTAGGAACGAAATTGTCGCGTCGCGGCGATAGAGACGCCGCGCGCGAAGGAATGTAGCAGAATGCAGCAGCAAGTAAGAAATATAGGAACAAAAGAATTAACAGTAGAATCATGACCAAAATAAGGGTAACATATCGATTGAGCTGATGGAAGGACGCCAGAGCTGTAATAACGGCGAAACGAAGTCCGCGACAGCCGCGTGCGGCCAATCGATTTCCAGACGCCCGTCTCCCTAATACACCATCTCCGCCCATGATAAATCTGCTAATTAATCTGATAATTGAATAAAAATTGAATTTAGATTCAGTTTAGGAATATAAGTAGGAAGAAGGTGCAGGGATGCTTGGTAATTTCAGCGGAAAACATTGGGACAATGCGTTCTCAAATGAAGAAAATCAAAAACTGGAGCAAAGCAAGATCGGTTACCCTATGGAGTACGTTGTCCCAGTAATTCGCCATAGATTACCACCTTCTTCAATACTTAACATTTCCACAGTGAACAGCCTAGCCTGAAAGTTATCAGCGGCTTCATTTTTGGATTGCAAGGATGGTTTTGCTCAGGTTGAGTAGTCCGATACCTCTCCTCGAACTTTAAATCCAACTTTTATTGTTTTATTATCGGTGCCTTTTTCTAAGTAAACCACAAATGGATACACTCTCATTGCTGACAGCGCTTGCTGAAATTGAAAATGTTAAAGTAGTGATCTCGTATGGTCTCGATAAAGAGTAGAATCTTAAGGATCTTCTTGAACGAGTAATCCACAATATTGGATCACGGTCTAGGAAATATGTAGTTAATAGAAGAATAGAAACGACAGAGATCACTTTCTCCAATTTTCTTGGACCTATGATGTAGATAGACTGAATTCGCAGTCTTGAGGAAGAAGATTACAGAAGCCCAATAAATGTAGCCCCACTAAAAGCCTAAAGTCTTACAGCGTACCTGATCTGTTGCACTTCCCAAAAAATGGTATGCCGAGCCCACTTGCAGCCTTATTTCATCGTCCAAAGGTGTCCAAAAAGGAGAAGATCCACTTGCTAATGATCTATCGAGTCGTGAGGTGCAGCTTGAGCGGAGAAGTTCCGTCGGAACTAGATCCGGTGATCTGCAAGAAGTCAACTAATTATTGATGAATTTTGATGATATCACGAGCCATCTAACTCAGCGTAGAGGGGAGTGGGAGCAATATTGTGTTCGGACGTGACTGAAAATGAGCCTGATGTTAAGGTCGATGGCTGGTCCTATCCACCGCTAAAGATGCTCAAAAAATATAACAATTGAACTTCAATGACAATCACTACCTTCACTGGGAGCTTCTTAAGGAAATAGGAGCTCGCCAGTGGTCTTGAGCATACACTACAGGGATACTCAGGCTCTGCCGAAGGCGGTAAGGCCAAAATTTAGTTACAACATGGTTCTTTTACCTAGTAACTTTTCCAAAGGATTGCAGTCAACTCAAGAAAATATGAAGTTGATGCTCGTGTTCTTATCAGCGATTCCCAACTGTCAACCAACTTTGACGGAATCGGTAAAGAATCGGGTTTGAACGAGGAATTTAACCTACGCAGACTCACCTGGCAGATGGTAGTAGGCCGCCCAGTGTTATCAAGTCGTCGCTAGTAATCATACGGCTCGACCTCCTATAGTCTAAAGCTCTTGAAGAGGATAGTAACATAGACGTTGGTACTGTACGTTCTGATGTAATGACCTGACGTAGCTCTCATTCACTCAGTTTAGTGGCTGAAGTTGATATTGTGCATCAAACAGTACAATTAACAATATGGCAAATGAAAAAACACGTGAAAAATTCCGATAGCTTGTATTCACCCAAATTTGTTTTCTCGGCTCTCGACTGTATACGAAAACCGCAATGGAATGTTGTCACAAGGGTACTGAGATGTGGTTTGAGAACTTCTTTTCAGTCGCGACGCTAATCCGAACTCGTCTCAATGGTTCCGTTTGCATGCAGTAGATTCCAGAAACCCTTTCGCGTCCTCCGCATGCTAGAGGGACTCCCAAAACGGTGTGTTTGGAAGAAATGGTTGCTTTCATAGTCCGCCGGCCGGCCGGCCGGCGGACTATTAAAGCACCCAATGGTTATTCGTAATGAAAGGACCTGTTTAGATGATATAGGATGTCGCGCCTCTATGGATAAAGCTGAGAACCCTGGCAAACTCTTGCTTTTAGCTCCGACGTTGCCATGATAAGGCTACTAAACTATGAGTGGCCATTAAAATTCAAGGAACGCTACAGGTCGGGAAATGTAGTTAATGAAGAAGGTGCTCAGAAAGAGGAGGAAGAAGTTTTCCAGAGTGACCATCTTGTCTCATTACTTACTGGTCAGTATCCTTATAACATCACGGTCAGGAGCAGTCTCCACTGCTTGTTCACAACTTCGCGATTACCCTGCGAGTGGGACATATCCTTTAAAGTTACTACCAGGGGCAAGACTTCATACTTTCTATACACTAGAGGCTACAGTGCTCTCTAAAGTGGCATCATGTGGCTTGATCCCGCTGAAGGAGCTCGAGAAAGGGACAGTACGGCCGCCGGTATCGTCACCATGTGGAGACCCCTCAGCCTACTGTAGACACCCTGTTCGAAGGCTACAATTTTGAAGTGAACACCGATTATGGGCTATATGAAACCAACATTTCTCTTCATCTAACCTGGCCATGGGGCCAGGCTGCGTTTTGCGACTCCATGAAATTCCTTACCGTATTCGGAGTTGGAGTACAGAATGCTAGAAGAGGGTTTGATGGCGCGGGTAATGCTGCTGTTCTGGTACTTCCACCTGCTGCTGCACGACTTCTGCAAGTAACGTGACATCGGCTTGACATTTTTTGAAGCATTCTATGTCTACCGAAGTTGGCACATAGTAGTATCAAAAAGCGGACTTTGCTTCACTATCACTCCATTATCAGCATATATCAGGATTGAACTGCTCGCTTGGACCACTCGAGCCTACCATCCTCTCGAGGTACTTGGTGTAACATACGTTCAAGAGGATCAAAGGTCGGAAATGTTACCAAAATTCACAAATTAGGTATCATAGTCCTACAATACCCTACTATGCTTCTGCATGGAAGTCGAATTCCGGGGCGCACCCCCCAAAATGGTGTTGATTGTTGGCAAAACTTTGTTCCTTATCTTAATTTTCTATCCATCATGTTGAAGCTCTCTCATCATGGCTTAGAACTCGGTCCTTTGTGATATCTAAGGGAGAGTTATGGGATAATAGTAACTACCGTTCCCATTCATTAACTTACACTGAGAGGATCACGTAAAACTTTTGGCAGATACTTTTTGGGGTCCAGAAAGAAATACAGAGCGTTATATTATTCTGAAGATTGCTCACTGGCAAAATTCCAATTCCAGAAAACGCATTCGTTTCTTTTCACGTTTTTCCCTTTCCGACTTGATTCTTTTACGATCGAGATACTCATATTCGATTGAATATCGACCGAATTCTGGTCGATTAGGCCAAATCTGTAAAATGTTTGAGATTTATCTGATCCATAAACTTCGCAATTTTGTGGACCCCTAATGAAAGAGCGACCGAATTTTCGAAGACGGAACTGAGTTGTGAATGTAATCAAACGAACCAAACCATTCATTTCACTTTACTTTGCAAGGTTACTTCACAATGCTCGGCCTCAAACGATACTCAATCTCGGAATCTTCATCACAGACACAATTCTTTACCTATGACACTAGCAATGCCAATAGAGAAATGAAGGGAAGAGTATTCGTTCCACCAGAGGAAGCTTCAAATTTTTACGCATTCCAATCAACACTTACGGAGCACCTATCCTTAATGTGCATAATAGTAAGCTTCCAGGTGTTACCAGTGGGGTTGCTCACCACCGAAGACGAAATTCCTATATATCGTGCTCTGTTTTTAATAGAATATTATATCCCGATCTTTGACCCTCTTACGAGTAAGAAGCGACAGATGAAGACAACCGTTTTTGCTTGTCGCTTTCACTGAAGGCGAAATGCTCGTGTTGATATTTCAATCTTGGCCAACATTTCATTCTACACGAGATCGTCCATCTTGAGGACAGGGGAACCAGACAGCAATTTNCGATTAGAAGCTCTACTCCCGAAAAGCATTCATGAGACTTCTAGACCTTCCTGAGCTGGGTGTTTCTCTTAGTGCCACTGTGAGAAAGACCACTTTATAAACTGCATCGACAATCAGCCTTCTGAAGTATAGCTCGTTAGAATTCTACGTACCTTTATTTGATAACAGGGCGGAATGGCTGATTCAGGACATCGGTGACGAGGAACGCGAGAAAGTTCGCATAAATCCCGACGAAAAGGTCATTTTTGAACCAAGCTCCTCTCAGTTCGCGTGAAAGGGAACGTATGAACAAGATTTCGGTCGCTGCTGAGCCGACTATCCCAGTGTATCAGCTGTATGTATTTATACAAGAGTACTCTATTCAATGAACATCAGCCTCTACAACACCGCTACTCTCTCGAGAGTTTGGGCCGGAAGTGACGTTTAGATCGGATTTTGAGCCCTTACTGCGCCATACCGGGACAAGACTTCGGTAACATTCACCTGTTGCGATCTACTCAGAAGGTCTCCACTGCCAGCGTCTTCTTGCATGGAATAGCTAGGAGGTGACAGAGTGATCTGAACTGATTGCCTTTCCGGAAATCAAAGAAAGGTGCGTAGATATTACTGACCTCGCCACTGCTGGCAGTGCTGATTTCACACGAGCTCATCAGACCACCGCTTATTGATGTGTAATAGTGAAAATAACTCCTACTCCAAACCAGCTTCCCCCTGATAACAGAGCGATCATTGTTATTAATTCCATGTTTGTTCTGGAACCTAGACTGATCTAGATCCATTTTTGTTGTATTTCAGACATAACCTTCCCTCCAGCCCCCGTGAAGCTACTGAAAGGGGAGGGATAGGGCCGCTACTAGTTACCTAAACCAACATTACATTCCACCTTAAATGTGAGAGTAAACAGTTGGATGGAGGGGAGCATCAGCCATAAGGGAATTATATCTGAGACCCTACGCTGCTGAACATACACTTGCCCGAACAGCTGCAGCTTACCGTATTGTACTGCCAAGTACCCCACCCCACTGCTGCATGTCGCATGTACAGATAGCGGATCGAATCCGAGATTGTCTCTCGGCTAGATGACCAAGGTTTGCTGCCAAACTTATCTGGGAGGATTACAGCAATGAACTGTGCTCTGCTGACCACTGCAAGTCATTGTACAGGTCATATACGCATTCATACGTCACCATGATGTTGAGTGGGAGTCGATTGCGTAGGCGTATTCCACGAGCAGTATTCATCAACTCCAATAGACCTTATCCTTTATAGAGCAACAAGGAAAGGTGATGTGACGAGTTTCCGCGAGTTCAATACAGCAATCAGCGGTGAGGTCTGCGCCATGTTTACCATCAAGGAGGTATAAACAGCAAACTTAGCATGGTCTTGCAAACCATATAGTCTTCCAATTTTGAGGGCATCTCCTAAGAGTTACCTCAAACTCTCCTCTTTTTCATGCAAGGATCAGAAAATTGTGATAGCCTCACTTGACTTATTGACTGAAAAATAGGGCGAATGGTGTAGTGGCAAGTGGCGCACTATCATACATGCATGAGTCGTGATTTGACTAACCACTCGACACTCTTTCAAGCAATCCAAGCCTTCCATCTCTTCGGAGTCGGTTAATTTGTACCAAACTTGTCTGGGAGGATAAAAGCCCTTGTACATAGGCTGGCCACTGCAAGTCATTGTGTAGGCTAAACACGCATTCAAACCGCCATTACGGTTCTGATGGAAGTCGAATGCAGGGCGCAGCCCAGAGGAGAGACCGTTTGACGTCGAAGTCTCTATCTTTATCTTTTAATTGAAAAAGTGAGGTTTTTCCATTAACATGGAATGTCACAGTAACAGTTTCATTGAGTGGCCCCTTCACACACACCTCCTTCTTCTATTTGCTCAGTTACTCCTTACTCTGTGTGTTCTTCCTTTTCTCCTTTATCATTCTCTTGCATTTTAATTTTTCTTGTTGTGGTCATTACCAGTCGTTTTTAACTTCCGCTTTTGTGGCCCATCTCATGTTTGAGCAGAAAAAAAGATATGAATAAGTGAAATCTCGCACGCCCCCCCCCCCCCCCTCTCTCTCCCGTCTTCAAGGTTTAATGATTGTTCTTAAAAATAACCAATCACGAAAATCACTAGGCACACAGTCGATTCAGTTATTGCCTCTCTTCTGACTTCGTTGGATGTCTTTCTCATTCCCTTCATATTATATTTGGTTACTCTCACCAGTTCTGGCATATCTGGATAAGGGAAAATGAAGTTAACGACCTTCTGATGATCATCAATCAAACTCATGAAAAAACGCAAGGACGAAGGCGAAAGCATGATTGATGATACCTTTTTTCAGCCATCAGTTGGTATTTCGAATTCTGGGATTCTGGGTTAGAGAAAAAATCTCAGAAACTTGTAGTCCAATTCATTGGGGTCCCGAAAATGAGGAACCGCTGAATAACTCACTGAGTGAGTTTTGCAGAATTGGGAAGAGTGCTTGAGAGCAGCAGCCAGACCATTTCCTTTCAATAGGTCAGCGCTGAGAAGTCGTAACTAACTGCGCCCCTTAAT